GCCGTGGTCACAAGCCCGTTCTGGGGCAACCAGTCTTCAAAGCAGAGCTTCACTTTGGTGGGGATTTCCATTTTGTGCAGCTGGGCCTGTCTCCCGTGTTCTGAAATCATTTTTGTGGCCTCACGAACGACTTCGGGATTTCCGCATAATTCCTCGAAGTTCTCAGGATTTTGACCGAGCTGTTCCGCGAGCTGTTGCAGGGCTCTTCGGTTGGGGGCGACCAGCGCCACGACGTACGTATGGAACGAAGAGGCATACACGCAGATGTTGTCAACGATCGGGCACGTTTTCAATTCGGTCTCGATCTTTCCCAGGGAAATGTACTCTCCGTATTGGAGCTTGACTAGGTCCTTCTTACGATCGATGATCTTGATCGTTCCGTCGGAGCACATTTCTCCGATGTCGCCGGTGTAGAACCACCGGATGTTGTTTTCGACGCGGAAGAACTCGCGGGTGAGGGCATCGTTCTTGTAATAGCCCTTGGCGACGGTGTCTCCCCCGACGACGATCTCTCCACGGGGCGGGTTATCGTTGGCGTGGTAGCCGGCCTCGTCCCAATCGGCAAGTTTGATGTGAACGCCGACAAGGGGAGCTCCGACTTTCCCACACGTCTGATCGCAAGCCTCCATGATGGCGGCCCCGGCAGCCGTTTCCGTCAAGCCGTAACCCTGGACGACGGCGCAGTCGAGAGCGTTCCGTACGAAATCGTGGGTGTATCCGGACAGCGGGGCCGAGCCCGTCGCGATGACTCGCATCCGTCCTCCGAGCAGAGCGGACACCTTGTTGAACACGAGACGATCCACGATCGGGGTGCGATAGCCCATTCTGACCCAGAAGTCTTTATAGGCGACCACGTGACGGAAGAACATTTTCGAAAAAGGTCCCTTCGAATCGGCCACTTCCGTGATGGCCTTACGGACGCGGTCGAGGACCAGAGGTACCGAGACCATGATCGTGGGCTTCAGAAGTGCGGCGTCTCCCTTCTGGCCGCTCTTGATTCCTGTCGACTTGTCGGTCAGAGTCAAC